AATCAAATTTCTTAATAAAGTAGGTTTAACTTCTAATTTAAAATTCCACGTGTCTATAATCAGCAAAATTAATAAATATTATAATGTATTTTGAAATTTCTATAAAATGCTTTTAAGTGAATATTTTATAAATACTTAGTAAAAGTTTGAGTCTCTATAATTAAGGTTTATAGATTAATAACCAAATAACTATTATCGGACAATCGAAATTCATTTGAATTCCAGATTTCACTAAGCATACATTTTTTAATGCTTATAAAATTTTCTTACGAAATTTCTATAGACAATTATTTGTCGGTTACAAAGAAAGTAATTTGAAAAATGTTGTTTTTATATACCCGTAGTTTAATGGTATGATAGTACGTGATAAAATAGTAGGCGGTGCTGAGTTTTAAATTCAATGGTTTGTAATTTTTTCTCCGTTTTTCTCGATTATTTGGAAAATTGATGAGAAATTAAAAAAACGACTCTTTTACAGCACTAACCATACATATAATTCCCTTATCCATGGCTTTACAATTCTATTTTAATATTTATTTGCATGTACTGTAAATAAAAAAAAAAAGTTCTCAATATAAATAATTTTACATTACGATCACGTGAAAAATTAAAGTTAATTATATGCACAATCAAACAATAATATCAAAATATATAGTAAAAAAAAGTAAAAAACTACTATATGTGTTTGATGTATTAAAATTTAAAATGCCTTTCGTCGTGTTTAGAAGCCAAGTCATCTATTATTTCATCAAACATATCCGTTAAGTAATTTTGTTTTTAAATTAAGTATATCTAGTGGATTCATTTTATCTTAATACTTAGTAGATCGTAAGGAATTCCTACTGTCTTCGACCATGAAAAAAAATCGTTCTGTTGAAAAATGGGTATAGAGCCGTTATTGTAAAAATACATAACATATTTTCAATATTTTGGGAAATTTCTGTGAGGGTTTTTTTTATATAAAAGTCAGGCGAATTAGGTTTTTCATGAAAATTATAAAAATTTGTTACAATAGATAGTTGTTAACCCGAAATCCATAATATAATAGGAATGATTGCAAGCGTTAAGATAATTTATTTTTAAAATATTATACACTGAATGTCAGGGTTTTTGACAAAACACAAAAAAATAAATTAAAAATCTTAACTTCATAAGAATTACAATAAAAGTATTGAAACAAAAATAAAAAAGATGGATGTAAATTTTTTTACTTTCCATAAATTTAGGTCTAAACCTAGGTCTATGTTGCCTATTCGTAAATCCAACACTGATTATGATGTTCAACCGGAAAAATTGTGTATAGACATACTTAAAAAAAATATTAATCTCCCAAAAAATCGAAAATCATTTAAATATAAGTGTTATTATTCCAGTTAAGCAAAAGACATTTGAAAAACAGACGACCGAAAAGAAGACAGTCTCTACTAAGAAGCTGAAGAACAAAAAAGATCAATCGATTACGCCTAAGATACTCACTCGTGTGGATAAAAACGCTTTTGTTTCTAATAACCGTTTTGGGCCGTTAGCTGTAGATGACGATTCTGATTCTTCATCGATTATTTTAAACACAGAAGATGATCCTAAAAATCGTGAGTATATTTGCAAATTAATTTACAGCCCTATAAATACTAAAAAACTAATCAAAAACTCGGCAACAATTCAAATTAAAAATGAATGAATAGTGGTTTTCAATTATTTTTTAGCATCAAAAAATGCATTGGAAAATGGTAATTGGAAATCAAAAAAATTTACGATTATTTCAAAGAGAAAAAAATCGCGAAAGAGTCCACCTGCAATCCTAAATCCAACGGAACATAAAATCGCTAAAAAAAGGATGTTGATGGAAGTATCAAAAAATAATAACTTGTCCGTTGATACCGAGTTGTTAGCAAAACATATCGTGCGAAAATCCGATAAGAAAACACCTGTGATTGTGAACGAGGGCCGTAGAATTTCAAGTAGAAAAACTATCAATACCCTCGGTGATTGTGCTGATATAGAAGTGATACATAAGACTTCGTCGGTTGAAAGATTCGTGACAGTGCAACAGAAGCATAAATGTAATAATTAACTGTTTCGATCTAGTATATCGTATACGCTGGGCCGTCGACATTCTTAAATTTTAGTATTGGAAAACTTTTTGAATTCTAGACTCTCCGACGGATCATGTACTACAACTATCGGCAGATCACGATCGTTTGGTTAGCGTCAATACACAAACAGAAACCAGCAACGGTGAGTCCACGATACCCAAAAATAAACGGAAAAGAAACAATAACCGATGCAGAAGCAGAGTCGTGTCAAAAGACTTCAACAAACACGTAGTAAAACCGATAGAATCGGAGAATGTTCCGTTACTTCCTATATTGGTCGGATAGGACGTGTTTACGGTCGGGCGTTTTTCAGAGAAGTCATTTATCCGTTGTGCTTCAATATCACGCTCAACATTTAACATGTTGACGTTTCATTGATACTGTGATCATAAGGGACAGACTGGGTGACGTATTGTTCAAGCCCGGGAAATCGTCTACTATACCCCGCTCGAATCATAATTTGTTATTTATATCCCAAAAAAAACCTAACGGTGAAAAAAGGCCAAGTTCCAAACTCCCACTCAAAAAAGACAGCCTATCAAAGTAGTGAAATCTACATTTTGGCCAAGTCTGGTATTTTTTAATTCATATCCTCACTGTTCTCTTACATTAAAGAGCAACACTCCTCTTTTATTTCTATTGTTTAACACTTGGCTAGTTTCTGGATGAGACATAAACTAAACTTGGTCGCAATGTAGATACCACTTTACGTTATTTTGTTGCCAAGTTATTATCTACCGAATCATTTTTCGCCGGATGTTATTTATCAGATCAAATGACGTGTCACGTTCTTATGACGTTACCATGTAAAATTATCGTCCGTATACCGACGAATATTATTAAAATATTCTGTATTTGAATAATTATGTTATATTTTGTATTTAAATAAAATAAATTTACAAAAAAATTATTACGTTTTATAAATATATATATAAGTCAACTATAAACAATTTCTTCTTACCATATTGTAACGCTGTTTGATAGAAAACGTTTATGCGTGCTAAGTGCGTCACTTCATACGTTTAGAAATACACTCTAATGCGGCATTAATTTTGAAAAAAATTCAATTTTTAAATTTTTCCCTTAAGTTACACCGTAAAATCTGCCTGTGTGCCAAATTTCACGTTTCTACCTATACGGGAAGTGTCTTATAATTTTGATGATCAGTGAGTGAGTGAGTCGGTAACAAAATTGCAAACTTTGAAATCCTCCCATTTCGAAATGGTACAATATTAAGGGCTCATTTTCTTACAGCGTCCTAAGCTACTCAAGAATAATCTGTGTTTTAAATTTCAAAAGTTTATCTTAAGAGGAAACAGAGATATATGGGTTAGAATAATCGGGCGAATTGGTTTGTGTAAAGATACACTGGCATTTGCTGGAACTTGGCCGGCGCATTGCCGTGCGCTCGGATCTATTTAGAAATATATCTTATATTGTTTATTGTACCAAAGCGTTTTTATAGTGATTTTTTTTTTTTTTTAATGATTTCATTATAATATAATTTTATTAAAAAATGCACAACCACAGAAAAAATTATATGATTTTATAGTAGGTATATGAACTTCATTATAATAGTGTGCATGAGTGTAAAATAAATGGATTTTATACATATTATCTATTATACTTTTGGTTCCTATATTTCCCGTCATGCAAACTTAATACAAACCTTGTAGTATAGGCTTATAAAAATGGATAACATAAATTGCAATACATTGAACAATACATTACAAATTATGGATACAGAGTGACGTAGGCACCTATAAACATGTAGTAAGTCTGGTTTTCAAAATAGGATGAACCCAATATTTTCTATTTCTCTGCTACAATGCTGCTTTCTTCTATATAAAATACATAAACATAGAGCATGTGCAACGTTCATCTTCGATGGAATACAAAATTCGATTGAATAATATGTAAATGCGTGTTTAACGCGTAAATTCATATGATCAACAACTAAAAAACGGGCATTCAACGCTCTTCGAGTGAATTTACCCTAAGATGGATATATTCAATTCGTATAACCGCATAGAATCACAAATTTACTGTCAGAATATTGATGAGTGGTCATCGGTTTTTTATTCAGATTTTTACCGTTGGTCATCCGTACTTTACACGCAACCGAGCACCAACGGGAGGTTTTGCGGAATCCGGAGTACATTTTTTTTTGTCTAAAAAAAAATTTTACTCGATCGCCCTATATTTTTATATTTTACATTGCTACTGTAAAAAAAAAAAAAACTGTTCCTCAGTACAGATATTGTATTTTATCATCAAAGCGTCAGCTCTATGATATACAAACAAACGAATAGTTTATATAAAAGCTTAGCCTCGAGTATTATCATATTTGTAAAGTATTATCGGTTTTGAATTAAAAATGCAGCATCATTTATATAAAAATTTAATAAAATTGCGACTGAATATGATTAAAAATAAAAGAAGGAATTCTCGTGTACTGAGAAAAATTGGTCGTTTTACACAGAGATAATTTATTTTAACAGGAGAGATTATTTAAAATGAATCCTTATTAGACATAAATGTGTTAAGGAACATAAATACTTTGGTTATTATTGTTTATTATTGTCTGGTAATGTATTGATATAATATATTATATTTAAAACATGCTAGCAAATTTAACATATTATTAAAATATAATTTTCCGTTTATTTTCCGAAACAAATACTAAAAAAGACCGCCTCTAAACGTTTTTCTTCAAATTTTGCCATAACGAATACACAACCGGTTGGTTCGTAGACCTATTTCAAAACATAACACTGCGCTTGTAATATAACGCGTCGTTCGGTCGCGCGGGTCATCGCGCCAAGTGGCGCCGTGAGATGGCGCCACGTTCGATGTCGCCCACCCGAAATGCTCGAACGAAACGCGAGCGGCCACGAACTCCGGGCACCGGAGCAATCAGTCGTCGCAGTCAGTCACCGAACAGTCTATCGTCGATCACCCGCGATCCGTCCACGACAGTATTCGACGGTCAACGGAACAACGCTCGCGTCCGGTGATTGATTCGTTCGTCGGTTTTCATCCGCCGCCAGTCGATTTAGGATTTCGATTGTTCTGCGTGTCCGCCGCGACCGACAAATTGTCCGTACCCGGGAAACTATTACGTTTTCCCGTTTTCCCGTTTTCCCGGTGCCGCACGCTTCTTCAACATGGGTCTGGGCACGGCCACCATCAAGTACATTCTGTTCTTCTTCAACTTCGCGTTCGCGGTAAGTAAAAAACCACTGCGATTGCGTTCATTTCACGTGTCGCTCGTCCACCGGGCCCGCGTTTGTCACGTCCGCGTGCAACAAGTCGTTGCTGTTCGCATGGGCGCAACTAGAGCCCAAATGTTGGTGGGGCGTTAGAATTGTTGAAAATTAAATAAAACGGTATTCAACTGTAATTACTTTAGATTATATGGATCTGAAAAAACAGGAATGCTTCATTTGAACTCGGGGGGGTGCTAAAAACCCTGTTGAGCCCCCCTAGTTGCGCCTATGGCTGTTCGGTCGACCGTTACTAATGTTGTCGCTGAAATCCATTCCTTTAATACTGCACTGGAGTCTAGATGGTACTACGTCCCGGGTGTACAGTCGTTGATGTCGTCCCGTCGTCGACAATACGGTTTTGAACGATTAAGTTCTGCAACGGGTTTCGATTGAAGTGTTTTTACTGGTAATTTCGCACCGGGCTCGCGTTGGTCAGCGATAAACCCGATTTATCGTGATAGAATTAGAAATTAAAATTAGAATAGATAGAATTATAATTAGAATTGGTTTACCGGCCAGATTTTAATTACCTTTCAGTAAAGTTGTCGGATACCTGCTTGAACGGGCTTTTGCCCAACATGCACGTTGTACATTTGGTTACGTAAATTATGTAAAAAAAAAAAAAAACAAGTATGCGATGATATAACTCTTATCGTGGTTAAAAGTACGAGACCTTTTTTGCTATACCTATATTTAGAATTAATTGGTCGAACCGTAATCACTTATCTCTGATTGCTTACGTACATTTTCACGATTACGTACTGCAGAATAATTAAAACACTACTAAAAATATACTGTTTTCACTAATCCAGACCTCATCGTATTAGATAACCTACATCGAGTTAGTTATCATTCGTGTTATCAATGTATTTACCAACGTATGATTACAATTTTGTAGTACGTTTAAATTGTGTTAGATTTTTTAACTCGAAGGACTTTTGTAAGGGGAAAATCAGATTTTTTTTTTTAAAACTATATTATGAAATAGCTAGTAACGGACAGTTGTCTGTAGATATTATGCACTGCGTTCGTTTAAAACCAAAACGTTTTATTAGCTGTTAAAAGACTTAATAAGTCAATGAATTTTATTTCTACATCGCATCACAACTTTACGAGTCTGGTAGATGAAGCTAAACGAATTTCTTTTGTTTACGTGACGTGTATTTTATTTTTCAAAAACTAAACAACATTCTTTTACGGCTGTATAAAATATGTTTTTATATGTTAATAGATAATGCTACGTATGGAGATTTTTATTTTTTTATGTATTCAAATTAGGTATATGCTATTTGTTGTAGCGCGTAAAGTTTAAAATAGTCATATGTGTAAACAAATGTTTGTGTTTTTTTAATTTCATGACTTTAACGGTATACTCATAGGCACTACGATAAATAAAACATTTCTAGAAACATGTAACGTCAAAGTGTACCGGTGTATATATGATATAAAAATAGAGTACGTACAGGTTGCGGTAGTAAACATGACATATAACATAAATAGTATAACGGTTAAAAGATACATATAATTATATGAGTTTGGATTTCTCTCATTCTCCCTTTCTCTATGGCTCGCATTAATACCTCTTGTGGTCTTGTTAGGCGAGTTTCTGTTCAGCGGTAAGAGTGCGTATGAAAATAATAATAAATAGTTGTGCTTCACATAGGCGTAACTTCGAAATTTATTAAGGGGAGGGGGTGGGGGGAAATAATATAATTACATATCTAACGAAAAGGGTGTCCGAGGATAAACGCCGCTTTACTACCTATATATTATTATATAAAATTATTCATTTTCTAACATTATGTTAGACAAGCGAAAATTTAAAATTAATATTTAAAAAAAAAAAAAAAATGTTATTGTAACAGCTATAAACAGCTGTTTTATACTTATTTTAAAACAAGGTATGTTAAATATCAGAGGGGCACTGCCTTTCCTAATTTTTTCTAGTGGGGCAATTGCTCCCCCCAGTTTACGCCTATGATGTTTCAATTACGGTTGTTTTTGAACATCGAAGGTAAACTTTTGTTCGACTCGAACCGCTTATAATAAATACTGTCGCGTGCGCCCCCAATAAAATGTACATTGCGGTCGGGGTTTCTTTCGGAAAAGTGAAAAAAAAAAGTTGTGTTTCCAAATGTAAAACATTTATTCGTTTTGTCGCGAAACGGAACGTACACGTGCCCACGGCGTACCTACGACCAACTGGTGCAGTCTTTGACGTAACCACACACGCGCACGGTATTATAATGTTGTAAAAAAAACGGTAACACGGCAGGACCATTGGTTACCGAGCGCGGTCCGAATTCGTCGGCGATTTACGTGTTTGAACAGCCGCCGGAATCATCCGAGCGCGTTTCCCGCACGTGCAACACTGCGTGTTGTTTACAATTTCCAGATCTCCGCGTTCTTCGACCTCGCGTCGTTATTCTCGATGATCGCCGAACGCTGTGTTTCGTCACGATTTATTTTTTTTTCGTTTTCACTCACCGACCACGTCAGGGACCGTCGTGGGGTGACGCGGGGACGGTGTAAACGCAGTCCGTCAAGAAGAGTGTGACATCACCGTGGGACACGTCGAGACGCGGGCAAAGCAGCGCAGTGTAGGAAAAATCCAGGTCATCCGTACAACACAGTTCCGTATCACAGTTCGTTTAGTCGTCAGCGGTAATGCGATAACGGAAAGTTTCATAGATTTCAGTTTTGAACCGAATTCCGGGGGTGCACTAGACAAGTGCGCAAAGTCATGGAAATGTCAGAAGAAAAAAAAAATAAAAATAAAGAGATGAACTGAATTTTAAAACGACTGTCAGTGTCGAAACTTTGTAACGCGTCTGATTGGTTTGGATTAGAGCCGCTTCCGTGGTACATTTAAAAAAAAATCTTCGATGATAACAGTTGAATATTATACAATACCATATGGTATCGTAAATTATTTTCCAAAGCCCGTGTGGCACGTTTGCGGCAAGTCAACCGTGCAGACGAAACTGTGCGCGGAAGGGACCGACCGTTCTCCGCGGAATGTGAAACATGTCAGGACCATGGGCGTAATTAGGGGGGATTAGGGGATCGATCCCCCTCCAAAACTTTTTTATGTAATTTTTTTTATTTATTACATTGTGGTAATATGGTTATTATCACGATTACTATTGTTATTATTATTATTATTAAAATTTAAACTATTAAAAATTTTGTTCTGGGGGGGGGTTGGGGGTTACTGTATGAGGTGTATAGATTTTGCTAAAACCTATAATCCCTCCCCCCCTCAAATCAAATTCCTGATTACGCCACTGGTCGAGACCACTAACGGCCGCTGGAACACGACCCTGGCGTACGCGATTGCGCGTGACTGTAAAAAAGTGGAACAATTATTATTGTTGTTTGATTAAAAATTAACAAAGAAACAACCGGCTCGTGGGTTCGTTTCCGGACCGCGTGCGGACAGCGGCGTTGCGAGCGGCACGTCCCACGCGGACGTAAACGGTTTGTCTCCGTAGCCAGGTCGAATCCCGTCCGCTTTCAAGACAATCTCCTTTGGGCCGCGCTGAAGACGTGAATGTTGTCGCGCGTTTGAATCGGCGTTCCGTGAACGAACCCTCCGACGGACGGCCGCCCGAAGACGATGTAATGGGTATTATTTAATTCGGACGAGTGGTACAAACGGCGTGATACAAATTGACGTTTCCGTCCACTTAAGTGTTTTCAATGTCGTATTCTCCTCGAAAAGTGCGCAACAATGATAGTGCCGACAACAGTTACAATGATAATAACAATTGGGCGTTTCCAAAAACAATAATAATTACGTTACGATCTTCCCACGTTCGGCTTGCGCTCGTGGTGCCCGTTCGGTTACACGGGCGACGTTTTAATTGGTTCCGAGCGGATTTTAACGAACCGCACGAATACGATTGAACTGTGACAATCGCCCAGAACGAATTGTGACTGCTAGAGACACAGTCATTGTCGGCCCGCGCGACGGTTGTAGACCGCGCGCGGTTTGACGATAAAAATGCGTTTGAACCCATTTAGTTCGTCGTCGAAAACATATATCGTTTTAATATTGTCAATCCAACGTATTATACACGGTTTAAACGACGTGACCGTCTACTCGTCAATGATGTACACGAGTTTTGCGTCGACGTAGTGTTATGTTAAACTTTTGCTCGCGGCACATCGTGCGCAGTAATAACTGAACGGTAATCGTCGTTTTCAAAGTTAAAATTTCCTAAAAAAAAAAAAAAAAATTAAAATTGAAAACAACTATTATACCTTTTGTAATTTTACTAAATTTTAGTTGGAATCAGCAGAGTACCAGTATGTATTATAGTTCTCGGTTTCGGAACAACATGTTTCGGTTTTTGTTGCATGGTCCATGAACAAAAAATAAAAACCACACGCGTGTAACGATAATTGAATATTTGAATTTTATACGTAAATTTCTATTGCTCGAAATCGGCAGACAACAACCAAAATAGATTAAAAATGTTGACGATCGTGTCGCGGTTCAGAATTAATTCGCTACCATTTCCGCACGTACTTTCCGACCAGTTATACTTCTGTTCGTTGCGGTAATATCTGTGTTCGATTTATTGTAACACTGGCGTGTACGCAAAGTGTCAACGTCTACGGCGTGGAAGCCTTATGAGACATGTTTGTGCCGTGAGAGCGGGTGCACAACATTGAATACATTACCGTCACGGTACAACGCCGTCTTCCATCGTAATGCGATACACGCGTAAATTTTCTCTCCCTGGAGTCGAAATCTCGGATGCATGTGCATCAGATAGTACGCGCTTTGCGTCAAACGTGTAGACTTGTACGTAATCTCATCAGGGATAGGGTTTGTATGCAACAGATATTTTTTTTTTTTTTTTTGCGACTTTTGATTATTGATTTTGTCAGTTATGTCCGCGAATCACCGCACGATGGGATGAATGGTGGTGTTTTTGTTTTGCATTTTT